AATGAAGAAGAATATCATCGGTTTTGTTTACACCTGCGCGTGTAGCATATCTGTAGTAGGTTGTAGGGATGTTTGTGCTGATCAGGCACTAGTGTGGTATTGAAATGCTAATGTTGGTGAAGGACGAATAATGTGTACGTTACAATATAAAAGTAATAAAGATTAAAGTTGATGTCCGTTGAGTCGTTGATAGTTGATGTACACCAAAACCTCGTAACAATATAGATCAGGAATGACCTTATACAAGGCCGTTGCCCGTATCTTATAAACTAGGGGAGTTGATTTTTGAAAGAAAAAAAATACACGAGTCCATTGAAGATAGAACACGCAAAAAAAAAGAAAAAATAACCAGCACAGGTGGGTCGCGGCACAGTGGTGACGTGGCATAGTTGGATCAAGTATAATGATATCTGACAGGGATTAAAATCACTATCAAAAATAAACGCTTCGATGCAAATCTTTAGATAGTGTTTAATTTTAAAAAATTGGTGTATTATTTCAAAAGCTACATGATCTACTATTTTCTTATTAATATCCTGAATGAAAAAGGGATTATTAAAAAAATATTATTTCTCATAAAAAAATTGTGTTGAACCATACACTTTTCAATAAGTTATGGCATTATAAAGTAAAAAGTGTAAAATATAAAATAGAGAAATTTCACACAAATATAGCATTCGGTAATCATTTTCACCACGAAGACAAGTCCAGAGGTCAAATTTTTTTTTTTCATAATAAAGTACATTACATTAGCTTTAATTTAAGATATATATATATAAAAGTGTCAGACCTTCCGGAACATTTTCAAAAGTTAAGTTGAAAAAGTTAATTTTTTGTGAAAAAGTTGTCATTTTAAATCCCCCCCTGTGGGCAGATAAAGGGTTAGATTTATGAAAAAAATATACCAAATGATAAGTAAAGACATCAAGCATCTATAAAAAAAAATTATATTAATATGTTCATTTTTGAAAAAGTTATGGCACTTTTAAGTAAAAAAAATTGAAAAAATTTCGAAAATTAGTGAATTTTAAATTTGTAATTTTTTTGGAGGTTTCCCCCATTTACGGGGAACGAGGGAAATTTTTTCAATTTTGAAGGGTAATGTCTTCGACTAGATACAATTTGTGATCTTTTGACGTATC